CCAGAGGTGATATTTTAACTGAGCTACAGCAAAGCAAGTTCACCTCACTGAAAAAACAGTGGCCCTATTTTTTACTGCAAACGTAAGCTATATTTGGAAATTTGGTGGCCATCTTTTACAGAGGAAACCTCTCTTTGAAGACTGCAAAGCAAAGACAGAAACATAGGGCCTTGAAGGGAGGCAGCGTAGCATGGTGGTTAAACACAAAAGCTCAGGGGTCAAAGGTACGTGACCCATGTTAAATCCTGCCTATCACTTTTGCCATCTGTGTGAACCTGGCACATTGCGTCTCTCAGGCCTAGGTTCCTCCTCTATAAATTAGAGATCGTAATCTCTACCTCAGGAGTTGTATTATCGAAGGAGTGAATGAAATCAAGTATTTGTAGTCCTTCACACTGTGCCTGGAAAGAGGGTGTGTACTCAGGTCATGGAAACAGTTTAATCACTCATTTTATCCAGGCTCTGAAAATCTCATGCCTCCCAACTGCCTTCACCTGTCAGCATTTTACCCTTCCCAAGACAAGCTCAAGCTCAGTACCACTTTCTACACGAAACCTCCTCAGCCCCACCCAGGCTGCCATCATGTCACACTCCTTAAACTCCTGTAGCCTTTCATGTCTGCACCTTTCCTCCACCGACGTCATCTTGCTTTGTTGGTTCATGTACATGTCTCGTCACTCTCCTGGAATGAAACTTCTGAGAGGAAGGCTGTCTAACTCACACTTTGGGCACCTCCATTGTGTCTCACACAGTAGGTTTTGTGCACAAGTATTGGTTGGATGAATAGAAAGTATTCAAATTGCACATAATTGTATACAAAAGACATTCATCCCCTCCCTGAAACTGATAGGTTCTCTTTGCTTCAGAAAACCTAAGGGTGATACATGTATAATAGTTTGTGGAGTACTTCTTTATAAGGAATATCCACGATGGCGAAGAACCATGGCTTTTCATCCAAAGAGAACTTTTGCAAGATTATGTAAGTAAAGCTGTGATAGGCTATGAAAAAGCTATGGTTTTTCTTTCTTTCTTTCTTTCTTTCTTTCTTTCTTTCTTTCTTTCTTTCTTTCTTTCTTTTTTATTTTTTTCTGTTCTAATCACTTGTCTGTTTTCATCATTGGGAAGGTAAAAACGTGCGGTTTCTTAAAATGAATCTCCTCTCTGATATTGGATTTCTTTATGGCTTTGATAAATCACTTAACCTTGTGGCCTCAGTTTATCATCTGTATCATGGGGATAATACTTGACCACCTATGTAGTTAAAACTAGGTGAAGGGGTTAAAGTATCCTGGGGAGTAGGGAAGATATTAAGTTTCAGTAAAGGCATTTGTATGTCATTTTACATTATTACAATTACTGTGCACTTTTAAGTTGAAAGGTTGGGCTTTCAAAGTCTTCCTTTTACCAGTACTTAACATTTCAACCATATTAAAGTATTTAATCCTGAAAATTTATCTTATTCACGATACCTGAAAAAAATATTTGTTCTTCCCTTTGCTTTTTCAAGATTTTTAAGTTTTCCTGGTGATTCAAAGGGACTAATGCTTTTGAGAAGTATTTGGAGTAATCATCAGTGATATTTTAGAGTTTCTTGAAAGTTTGTCTTCTTGAAACAAGAAGTTTGTTTCTGCGTAAGTCTTTGCTCTTTTCAAAAACAACAAGATAATGAATAAAAATTAAAATGCTCTGCACTGAGTATAGCAACTCTGTATTTTAGGGATTTAGAAATGGGGAGGAACCTGAACTATACACATTGCGAGTGCTCTGGGCATCTTCTGGTCTAATTCATTCCCTGTATCAGCTAAGAATATGGTTGGCTGCAAGTGACAGAAACTTGGACTACATGGCTCCTATATTTTTCATATGAAAATTAGTATGTGATTCAGGACTGGTATGGTGGCAGGATGATGCTATCAAGGATTGAGATGTTTTTCTCTTAGCCATGCTTCAGTGGGTTGTTTTCATCCTCATGCTGTGACCTCATGGTCCCCACATAGTCACTGCACTCCTGCCTTTTACCTGCATTCCAAGCAAAAGGATGGGAAGAGGTGACAGCAAAAAGTGCCTCCTGGCTCCTGCGAACGCCTTGTATAGAATCTCAGGCAGCACGGTCAGAACTGTGCCACATGATCACCGCTAGCTGCAAGGGAGGCTGGAAAATCTTGTGTTTTGCTTTTTTTTTTTTTTNGACAACCCTTCTCCCCTATCCACTGCCCCTCCGCCTCCGATATCATACATATCTATTACAATTCCATTGACTCCATTCCCACACTATACTCCACATCCCATGACTATATATATATATATTAAATTATAGTTGACATATAATATTAGTCAACAGCAGCTTCAGGTGTACAGTTCATAGACAGTGTAGAGGCCTGACCATTTGCTTTCTTTAATAAAGTTATTTGAGATACTGCATGTCATCAGTGATTCCATTGTCTGATAAAAATTCTTCCATCTTAAAAGTGTTGACATTTTTATTTTCTATTCATTTTGTTTCATGACATGTAATTCAGACATTTGACTGAGTTGAAATCAGTGGACTGGTTGGCAGCCTAAAAATTTGTTTGCACAGAAGAGGTATGAATGAATTGGGAGATTTGTTTACATATTGGCATCTCTTTATTTCTTTCCTTTGATTTTTTAATTTGACAACTCTCTAATGTAATTATGTGATTAGACCTTAAGTTAGGTGACTTGCCATGAATGTTGATCCAAACCCTCCATCTGTCCTAATGATGTTAGGACATTGTGATGGTGTGACTGGTTACGGATTCAACTGAGCAAAGAAATATAGCTAGCCACTTAGTGACTTTGTTTTTAATTCAAATCACATAGATATTGATCTAGAGTGGATCTGTTCAAGATTTGTCAAGTTAGTGTGAAATCACACACAACTTCATATTGTCCTTACATCTATGCAAATGTACTTACCAATTTGCAATTTGTTTTTTTTCTTGGAGTCAAAACCCCAAGTTTTGCTATATCCAAGCACCTACTAGTGAAGCCACAGATAAAGCTGAGGCCTGTACAAATAGTTTAAATCCCTTCAGGCCTCTTGCTGTGTTCCAGGCTCTTTGTTACATTCTGGAACTAGAGGGGCGTGAGGGGCAAAGCAGACATGGCCTCCGTGCTTACAGAATCTGTAGTCACACTCGAAGCTTGTGTTGTAGAATCTCATTGAAGAAATCTGGGATCAGAAGTAACAAGGACATATTTAGATACAGGCCAAGCTAGATTTCGGAACAGATCTATACCTATAATGTGCTTGGCACGGTGCATGGTAGTTAGTAACTACTCAATAACAGTTACATGCTAATATCATTATTTCTTGTATTACTTATTTTTCCAGCCCATTTAAATCATTCTCCAGCTGTAGGCAGAGCACAACACATGTAGACATGTAGAATTAAAAGGGGACTTGGTTCTTTTGATAAGAACGCAGGCTGATGTTGTGCTGCAAACTTAAGAGAGCCCAAGTTGGTCTTGTAATGTGGAGACTAAGAGTCATTTCCTTTATTTTTGTATCCAAGCTTTCATTGTTTTAATTGGCGCCCTACCAAACTGATAGATGCCTCCAGTTGTGTATGTCAGCGTGGCTGCTGAGAACATTACAAGTCCAGTACTTACAAGGGACTATTTTCCCATTATTTTCTTCCCAAAGCATTTCCAGCATGAAAACCTTAGAAGCTAGAGCAAAAATGCTATTTTTAAAAACAAGCTGTTTTTTGGTATTTTCTTAACATGAAAGTAATCGATGTTCATCATGGAAAAGACAAGTAAGCAGAAGAGGCAACGAAAAGCTCCCGAATCCAACACCCGGACAGAACTACTGTTGCAGTCTATCCCTATTTCCGTCCAGTTCTTTCTCTAGACACGGAAATATGTCTTTAAGTGGCATCACAGTGTCACACCCTATTTTGTAATTGCTTTCCATGCCTTTATTCTATGGGGTTGTCGGAAAAGTCGTGATGCTCTTTTGCAATGAAAAACATAGAAAAAATACGTCATAGAAAAAATACGTCATGACTTTTCTGACAACCCAGTATATCATTAAACAAATATCTTTCCATGTCATTATTCTTTTACAGTATTAGTTGCATCAGTTCTATCAAATGCCAATTGTGGGGCATTTGAGGTTTTTTTTTTACTTTTATCTTTTCTTTGTATTATAAATAATTTATTGGATGAGCAACTGAGTTACCATTGTTGAAGGTTTTCTTTAAATGTTAAAATAGCTAAATTATTTCAAAAAATTTAAAGTGCTTTGGGTGTAAGGTAACTGGAAAGATGAAATGATTGCAATGAGGTTTTCATGGGCTTCTTCTATAGCATCCTTTTTGAAGGGTCCCAGAGGCCACACTTTCAGGAAACCCTGGGAAAGTGGCACTCTATAATTAGAGATCAATAACTCCAAAATGGACTGTGATTTAGTAGAATAAGTTAAAATCAATTACAGACTGACTTACCAGGTGACTGTTCTGTCACCTGTTTGTTCCCGTGACAAATTCAAAGCAATTCAAAACAAATTTTCCGTTCGCAAGCCGATTTCTTTTTTTCAGTTCTTTAAGTTTTATCTTTTGTGTTGCACAGCCTGTTGTTCCCATGCATGCGAATGCACTTACCAATCCATCCTTCTTGCCAGGAATGCCATCTCCCACCACACTGAAGAAGTCGGACAAGTCTGGTTTCAGCAGCCCCTCCCCTTCGCAGACCTCCTCCCTGGGAACAGCATTCACACAGCACCACCGGCCTGTCATTACGGGACCCAGAGGTGAGCTGCCCCACAGGCGCCCTCGGTTATGCTTAGATCATGGCCTTGGGACCAGCGTAGCAAAACAAGAGACAGTGAGGCCTCCCCTAGAATGCTCCTGAAGGCAGCGAATGTTCCCAGTGTCCTATCCTTGGGGACAGCTCTGGAATGTTAGCAACCAAAGCCATGCGGCATTAAACCCTTGATCCTTCACCTAAGGCAGAAAGGGACCAAACCTCTTTCTTTGCCAGTGTGGTGTTGCACAAAGAGGTGGGAGGTAATTGGAATTGAACCAAAATCAAATCCATTCCACAGATTGTACAAGAGGCGTGTGTGTGTGTGTGTGTGTGTGTGTGTGTGTGTGTGTGTTTGAGGTGACTATATTTCCATGTAATCAGTCACCTGTCTTCAAGTACAGTTGACCCTTGAACAACGCAGGATTTTAAAAATCCACATATAAGCAGCCTGCCTCGTTCAAACAGCTGTATTTTCACTCAGCAGTGGGGAATCCGCATACGCAGAGGGCCGACTTAAGTTATATGCAGATGTTTGACTGTGTGGCGGGTTGGCACCCCTAACCCCCACATTGTTCAAGGGTCAACTGTAATAGCTTTTTTCATTCTGTCGTCCCTGATGATTCCCTGTCCCTGAAACCTGATTTCAATATACGGCATTTTGCGCTGAGGTTGTTTGCATCACGGTGTTGACTGTGGACGAGCCGTCTTCATTCACTCCTTTTGAAGTGGTAGATAGTTTGTCTGGTTTTCATTGCAATGTTTTCATTATTTTTGCCTTGTGTGCTTTTAAGTTTATTATTAAAATGTGTCCACAAGAAATATGATTTGTATTTCACATTAAAGACAAGCTTTAAACCTCAAGAGAATGTCAGCAAGTCACTTAACTTGATCTTATTGCAAGATGAAAATATTTATTAGTTTGTTTATGAAACTCCCACAGTAGGAGTATGAATAATTGTAACCACGTTTGCTTTCTTCTATCAGATTTTCGTTTAGGTAGGTCTGTGATCTACCAGCTGGTATCATAAAGCATCCTAGAAAGTTATGGTCTCTTGTCTACTTTGACATACGCCTGGGAAAATTGATATTTCTTGCATTAATCTCACTGTTAGTCCCACAAATCTGAATCCCTTCATGGATAGTCTCTGTGCATCTCGGGAAAATATGGCAGTTGAGAGGGCTGTCCCACGCACACATGCAGAAATCGCAATGAAGAAAATAAGTATTCTGACTATTGTGTGAAGCAATTTCTATATCCACAATTATGAAAACTTACTTGTTTCATCTTTAAATATCTTATGATCATCGACAGAACTTTCTCAACTTATTGTTTCACTTATATGTGTGTATGATATAATTAGAGAGGAAATATATGTATTCTAATTTGAAAACCTTGCATCTGAATTGGATTACACAGTCCCAGAATGCAGAATGAGTCTCTTTAAATGGGGTAATATTACGATATTACCCTCAAGGTCAACATTCATTAAGCATCCTAACTGGTGGAAAATAAGAGAGATGAAACCCTTTTAGTCAGAAAGATTTTGGGTCTCAAGGCAATAAGGCATGTGATGTTTCTCATCTTTTTTATCGTTAGGTTAACATATTCTAAATGCTAAGTGAATGTTAAAATCATAAACTTCCTGTCCTCATAAAGCATACAGTCCAGTGTAAGAGAAAGGTACAAGAAAATAAGCGTTTAGAAGATGATGTGGAATATGCTGTTACATATCACTTTGTATCAGATAAAGAGACTTCAAAGTGTAGATACCTTTGAAGTCAAATCTTAAAAGTTGCTTACATTCCAAGCAAAGGAAAAATTCATGGTGTAGCAAGGTAATAAGGATTGGGAAGAATAATATGCTAGCCATCAGGGCAACTGGGTCAACTGCCTCTTTGCCTTTCCATTCACCTTCTGGAATATTCACTGTCCTCATCAATAAAATGGGGACAATACTACTGCTAAATTTCTCCCAACCTCTTATTCTTATATGGAAACTACAATAAAACAATACTTGTAGAGACTCTTTGAGGAGCATAAAGCAATGTGCATATATTATCATTTATGTATAAATACTAAGAGTGCCATCTATGAGTCTTGCCTATAACCGTATAGTTCTAGAAATAATGATAATGTTTCTAGCATTTACCCATGGATGCTATTTTTGGGAGCTTCTTCATGCTAGACAATTAAACACACTTGCTATAATGATCCACACTGTGTTGAACCAGAGTGGACCTCCTTAGCCTATAGAACAATGAGTTTTGATCTCCTGTCATAGTCATGGAATTGTTTTTGAGGAAAAGAGAAAGATGCTTAGTTCAAGAATTATGGAATACCAAAGATTCTTTGTTTTCACCAGAATTCAAGATGATTCCCAGCATCCTCGGTTCTCCTTTCTGGAAAGTCTGCTCAGGTACCCATTCTTGTTGCTCCCTGCCCCCCTTAGTGGTCTGGTGAAGGGAATTGGAGTAGTTGAGATGAAACTCTTCCATGGCGTCTTTGTGGTAAGAATCATAGACCTGAGATAGGCTAACATAAGACGTCCTTGGGTTAAGATACTTTTTAAAGGTTGGTATTTAGCCTTTCATTACTTAAGAAATATTTGCTACTGGTACCGTACTCCCTTTTATTATTCTCTGAACCAGTCGCAAAACTAACGCTTGAAATGACATCACATCGGGGTCTAAGAATTGATGTTTTAGGAACAGGAGGCCAGATTTCATGAGGGAAAGTCTTACCGAGGGAACCAGTATGGAATAAATGTGATATCAATACATAAAGGAGAATTCAACTTTGCATGCTCCTTTTATTGTGTAGAGTTGCCACAATCCAAATTCACTAGAGAACCTAAACAGACAACCAGAGTTCCAAAAGCTGCACGGTAGGGGATGTTGTTTACTGCACTTTTGCTCACAGTCATATGGTATATTCACCCCTAACACCCAAGTGGCAGGACTTCTGATGCCTTCCTTAAAATTTATTAAAATTTTTCATGGGAATACCTTGACTAGACAAACACCAGTTTGTAAGCAATAATTGTGTAACATATTTCAGTGCCCAGGCCAGAGGTGATATTTTAACTGAGCTACAGCAAAGCAAGTTCACCTCACTGAAAAAACAGTGGCCCTATTTTTTACTGCAAACGTAAGCTATATTTGGAAATTTGGTGGCCATCTTTTACAGAGGAAACCTCTCTTTGAAGACTGCAAAGCAAAGACAGAAACATAGGGCCTTGAAGGGAGGCAGCGTAGCATGGTGGTTAAACACAAAAGCTCAGGGGTCAAAGGGACGTGACCCATGTTTAAATCCTGCCTATCACTTTTGCCATCTGTGTGAACGTGGCACATTGCTTCTCTCAGGCCTAGGTTCCTCCTCTATAAATTAAAGATCGTAATCTCTACCTCAGGAGTTGTATTATCGAAGTAGTGAATGAAATCAAGTATTTGTAGTCCTTCACACTGTGCCTGGAAAGAGGGTGTGTACTCAGGTCATGGAAACAGTTTAATCACTCATTTTATCCAGGCTCTGAAAATCTCATGCCTCCCAACTGCCTTCACCTGTCAGCATTTTACCCTTCCCAAGACAAGCTCAAGCTCAGTACCACTTTCTACACGAAACCTCCTCAGCCCCACCCAGGCTGCCATCATGTCACACTCCTTAAACTCTGGTAGCCTTTCATGTCTGCACCTTTCCTCCACCGACGTCATCTTGCTTTGTTGGTTCATGTACATGTCTCGTCACTCTCCTGGAATGAAACTTCTGAGAGGAAGGCTGTCTAACTCACACTTTGGGCACCTCCATTGTGTCTCACACAGTAGGTTTTGTGCACAAGTATTGGTTGGATGAATAGAAAGTATTCAAATTGCACATAATTGTATACAAAAGACATTCATCCCCTCCCTGAAACTGATAGGTTCTCTTTGCTTCAGA